TAGTTGATAAACAATAATGGATAAATGAGTTGGTGGTGCCCATGTAAGATATCATATGCCCCCCCTATAAAATGAAAAGCAGGGGTTGGCTTCAAATTGTGTCGTCAAATTAATTTACCAAAGTGAAGGATATAAGCCACCAAATAAAAATGATGTGGTTGAAACCATGTGGGCGGAACTACATACAAAGCTACACTGGGCCTAAGTAGCTTTTTGAAGAAAATTTTTTTAGCCTATTGTAGCCAATGTAGGTTTTTAAAGAAAAACACAATTAAACTTATATAGCCCATCAACTTGCCGTTTCCACTTGTGGTTGGAGCCCTCATTTTGGCAGTTTCTCCAATATTTCAAAGAAGACATCTTTTTAGACAATAAATAAATAAATAAATAAACTCAATAATAGAGAAATATTATTTTTCTAAACTATGTTTTGTGGTTTTCCCCATTGTTCTCGTGTTAACCCTTTTGTTGCATTTAATTTGTATTTGTTTTATGCTAAATTTATTGAAAATTAGTTCATAGGACTATAAACTAGCGTGGTTTACATAATTTAATATATATTTTTATTTCTAGAAAAAAATATAGAAATTGTAAGTTAAAAAATATAATTAAATTTTAAGCTAAAAATTTTAGCTAGCCCACCCATTAAAAAATTCATGGTTCCACCCTTGGTTAAAACAAACTTTTTACTGAAGGTGAACTTTTCTTTTCTTCTTTGGCACGAAATGATAAGTTCAATTGACCTTATATATGTTGTGTTCCATTGTCAACTATAAGGTCAGAGGTGCTTGCTTCTGCTGATGTTACTTAGTACGTGTTCAAAATTCTGTCCAAAATTGCAGAGCATGCATTCTATTTTTGCACTTCTGCAGCGTAATTTCTGTAGTTTATAATAAAACAAGCAACACCTTTCCTCCTCTTTTTTTTCATTTGCAGATCAACAAAAAGGCAATAGAAATTAAAATTAAAAGAAAGAATTTCCTCTGTGCTCGATATTATTATGTCAAATTCTTACACACCGTATAGGTTTTTATACAACTTAAACACCTTAGTAAAGAAAAGAAAAAAAGCCTTAGCTTTCAGGTTTTTTTTCCTGTGCTAAATTATTCATTACCAAGAAAATAAATAAATAAAATGCTTGGAACTAAAATCTTTGATTGATGCCCCCCTCTGCAGAGTATACGCATACTAGCTCTTTGTGTGGTGCTCTACTTCAAGGTTTCGTCGGATTCGGACCGCCAGACGGGACAGGACCTCTAAGTATCTGCTTGATCAAAGGGAAGAAAGAGGGAGGATTAACAACCCTAATTTGCAAAACATCTTTCTTCATCCTCGTCACCATCAAATTTTCTTCCCCATGCAACACTCTGCAGGCCTCATATGAGTGCATGTTCAGAAGAAAAACCACTACCATGGCCACCAAAATCATGTGTACAAACTTCATTTTGTTAGGCAAATGACAAGAAATGTTTTTTTTTTTTTTGGGTTGGGTTTCTTTTTTTGATCGCTCTGTATGCAATGCAAGCAAAAAGATGGAATGAATGAATGAATAATAGAGGCGGGATGTAGGGCTTTTATATGCATCAATATGGACCAACTTGCATGAACATGCCTTGGATTTTTTCAATATGTGTATCTATTTTATTCTTTGGTTTGACTATTGACAATTATGTTACAGGGTTAGAATTGAATGGGTCGTCATGCCCAGCCAGAAGGGGAACTGAGTTTAATTTTGTAATTAAGTTGAGCTAGATTTTTGGTTACTTATTCTTTAATATTTTGTAATTAAGTTCTACTGATTTAATTAATTAATTAATTTTTAATCCACAGTATTAGAGGTATGTATGTTGACCTTGACCACATCCTCCTGTTGAGTTTTTCTGGCATCGAAATGTTGCATAGTTTTGAATTTGAGGTGAGATTAGAGAGCTAGGCATGGAGGGAAGCGTGTCCAAGGCCTTTGAACGTTGAATATTTTGAAGTTTTATTGGTCCTCCTAGCTACTAGCGATCCTGTGATAAGCTTTTACACGACAACAAAAATTAAAATTAAAAAATTAAAAAGAAAACTTTAATCATATGGTGTTGAGACTGAAGTCCCATTTGACTTGACATGTTTCTAGCGGGACCCCACGTTTTTATTTAATTAATTAGGACCTCTTTTATTCTCCAGCCAGAGCTTTGTTTTAATTTGATTTAGACAAAATTATACAAGAATAAGTCATGATCCAGAACGGGTAAGTGTCTTAATTATATTAAAGTGACTGCTTGTCCTTGGGCAGACATTTCTTTAAAAGTATATCTTAGTACGGCATCTACAACGTTATGTGGATTGGGGTACCTATTATAGCGCAAGGAGGTGGAGTAGGTACTGCATATTGTATCTCTACTCAGCCTAGGAACGCAGTGTTCGACAAAAGCCTAAACGAAGTCTGTGTTGCTTTGATGTGCTTGTTTGTTTAAAAAATTCTGGCCAAAACGACGCCGTTTTTGAACCATAAATTTTTTTTAATTAAAAAAAAGAAAGAAAAAAAGAAAAAAAGAGGAAACTCGGGCTGCCATTTCGTGGGCTTTAACCTATTTCTATCTAAGGCCTGCATATAAAAGGACAAAAGGCTTTAAACAAGGTGTTTTAACTCTACGGCTTTTTAACAACAAGGCTTTCTTTTTCTTCTACAACACAGACTTGGTATTGTTTAAATAAGGATATTTGATTGTCAATTTTTTTATATAAAGCTTTTAGCCTTTCAAAATTGCACTTCCACTAAAAAATTCCTATGCCCGCCAGTGGCTTTGTGTACCATGTTTATTAGCAACATCTCTAACAATATTCGGCCTTCAACAATGTAATAAGTAAATGTGTTACATGGTTCACTAATGACAACTTTATATCATTATCTTGAAATTTTAAATTGATGTGGAATAACAGTTGGTTTAAACTCTTGTCTTTGTTGTTGTTGTCAGAAGTTGGTTTAAACCCTTAAAGGGTTCAACATGTTGAATTCAAGACTTCCTCTGTTATTTTAGTCACCCTCAAGACTTTTTCAGTTAATCTAACTTTTTTATCTTGCATTGATGTAGCAGATCCAACATCACTAATGCCTGGTGCTTTAAATTGACGACATGATTTAGACTTGGGGTTTTCTTAATTTTCACTCTAGTTTCTGTTCTTGAAAACCTGATGATATTTGCTCATTCATTATTTGGCAAAATCAGATTTAATATACATTATTGTTCAATTCCTTTTGCACTTCTCATGTGGCCTGAAGGAGTTTGGAAAGGGTATGCTGGGCTGCATCACATATGTCCCTCTCCTCCCTCACCCTCCAGCTAGTGCATCACATATTAGATAAAACAAATAGAATGGTTTCTATATAAATAACAAATTATTTGAATTTATAACAATTCATGGGTTACAACTTACAACATTAGTTATATCCCTAAGAAAAAAAAAGGGGGGGGTGGTTGTTTAATTATTTATCATCCAAAATAGAAAATGCCGTGCTACATATACACAGTTGAACTAATTAAGAGCTAAGCTTTTGGTGCTCAGTTCTGAGTCTTATTAACGCTGCAACAGTAACCCTTGGTCTCAGTAAAGTGAGGAAAGTCATGGCTGCAGGCATAGAGTGGTTTGGCTACATGTTCATCTGATTCAGGTGCAAGTACCCGAGCCGCGGCCGGGAATGTGGGTGCAGGGATTGGGGCCAGATGGGGGCGCTTGACCCCTTGCGAGGTACTGAGACCCAAGAACAAGACCATGGTTCTTAGCCCATTGCTCTGCTTTCAAATGCCTCATTTCTCCAAGTTGTAGACAAGAAAACAAAATGAGCAGAACGACAAGAGTTGAGAACAGCTGGGTTTTCCTAAAACAGAACCTCATTCTTTGAGACTGAAATGTAATGGAACTTTTATCTTTTTGTTGCAGGATTTTCCTCTATCAGTATCCTTGGTTTTCCTTTTGTGTTTTTCCTCTGTTTAAATGAATTTTGACACAGTGGTTTGTAAGGCAATGGACTTTGGGATGGTGGAAGTGTTGGTGGAGGTCAGAGCTCTTATATAGAGAGGGATTTTTAATTTCCAAAAATCATGCCTTTGACCTGTGCTTTGTTCTTACTTCTGAGTTTGAAATTGACTGAGCTATTGTTTCAGGGTTCAAACCAGTGCATGGCCCATTTGGAATGGATCAATACACGGTAACTTGGGCGCCATACAGTTACAAATTGTGAGGATTGGTGTGCAAACAAATTCTATTTGTGTTTTTATATGCATTGGCTCAATTTTACATTTGTGACGTTATTGTGGTGGTATCTCAAGCCAATCATATAATATTATTTGTTTTAACTTTCTCACCTAAATGTATTTAGGCGATTGTCTCCAGATACACAGCACTGTCATCCCCATTATGGAAGTTTTCTCCAAAACTTGAGTTGCAAGCCATATAGAACAGAATAATTCAAAGTAAACTTACGCTGCCATCGTTGATTACGACCAAGCCCGTAAGAACTATTCACTTCTTTGCACCTGTAGGACACGTAACAAGGGAACTACGCAAAGCCATGAGCAAAGCATAATGCAACGAGTCAAATTCAAACAATATTTTTACAGAGAGTGGAATTGGGGTCGCATAAGAACAGGTTTTAATATGACAAAAATTTCCCTTTTCTTGATTGATTAAGTCGCGTTCTTGAGTTGCAGAGCTAAGCTGCTGAGCCGTAGACAAAAGTTCCCATCCTTCCCAAAAACAGGGATTATTTATTCATTAGTCAGACACAACTCCATTCAAAAAATAGAGTTTGAATAGCAAAGCGTATGACTATGACTTACTTCAGGTTTATCTCGGGCAAATTCATCTGATTATTTTCTGTACAAATGTATTATGTTCATTGGGATTTAAGAGGGGCGTGTATACGTAAACCGTAAACAGTAAAACAGTAACTGAGAAGCCTTTCAAAAAACACAGATAAATTCATAACATAGATTCAGTACATCTTCCGAACATGTTCGAAATTATCGCGATATCATTTGCATATATGAACTAAACAATCTGAAGTTGGATTACAAATCATCAATGTCAGATGAGATGAGAAAACTCATCAGTTAGTCAACAACAAGAAAACCCACATTTTATATCAGGTAGATGCATACAGATACATGTTATAAACACAACTTTACAGTGGGATCATTTTGAAAGAGAGGCCACCAGCTTCTCCTTTAACTGCTCGGCATCACCACCTTGAGTTGGAATGGAGAATGTATGAATAACCTTATCGTTGTCTGTTACTGAAACATTAGACTCTTGAGCCACAATTTTGTGTTCCCTAAGAGTTTTGATGACTTCAGAAACCGGGTGAGAATCCAATGGGCAGTTCATCCTCACAACTGCATCCTCATGTCGTTCCTGAAAATCAATCTCTGGAACCGGAAACTGCTTTTGATTATTGTTTCCCATCTGGTTTTCAGTTTCCATGACCCTGATCTTCATCTGAAGATCAGTGATATAAGTAATGGCATCACCCAGAAGAGAGGCTTTGTCCATCTTCGAAATGTTAGGAACAACAGCTCTTAGTGCATAGAACCTCTGGTTAAGCTTCTCGCGCCTCTGCCGCTCTGCTTCCACATGATTCAATGGTTCTTCTCTCCCATTGGCAGGCTTTCTCCCTCTCTTTCTGGGTTTCCGCTCATCAATTTGTGCTGAGGACTCATCCTTAGGCAGCTCCAAACTTGAAACTATTGTCGGAGCACTGAAACCTCCAACCATCATTTGGTTCAATTGCGGAAAAAGTTTTACTTCACTATCCTCACTTTGACATCCATTTGAAGTACCTACTGATTGTAATTCAAATGACTCTGGAGGAAATGTAGAATCTTCCTCTATCTTAGGGGAAAAGGCAATATTGATCGATTGTGATTTTGGACCACCAAGACTGAGCTCACGTCCAAAAATCATTGGAAATGCCTTTGCCTGAACAGAACTAGATTCACCAAATAAATTTCTGACCATATTTACTAGATTCTGTTCTTCTGGATTTGCTTTGACTGAACCAAGCTCAACAACTCCTGATTTCATAGGTACAAACACCACTGTTTGGAACCCGGCCAATCTTGCTAAATACGATCTTGACTGGTAATGGTGTAAACAACTACCCACATCTGAAACCCAAATTGATTTACCGGACTTGTACGACTCCCCAGGACCACTGTGTGAATCAAGTTGAAATGCATAATACATTGAAGTGAGGTAAAACATTTCCACATCTGACACCCCATCCAGCCTCCTAGCATAATTACCCTCATCCAAACCACCAAAACATGCATGGAGCTTCTCAAGCACCCACTTTTTCACCTCCTCTTTCTTCTGCACTCCCTCAAAACTGCCATCCAAACTAGAATTCTCGCCTGCAACTCCGCCATCCTTTGTGTCTCTGCAATGTCCATCACCCCAAATCAAGGCAGATCCACCAGATTTCGAGCTGACAACCTGCCAGAAAATGACATAATTCCAATTTGATCCTTTGACAAGCTGGGACAACCCTTGCTGCACACCCAATTTACCAGGCGGCCTAACCAAGTCTGTCAAAACATTTTCAGAAACCAGAGAGGTCAAGAACTGGCATGCTTCAGTACCTAGTACTGACTCCACCACGACCCTGTCTTCTTCATTCACCCAAAATTTCTCACCCATCTTAATTTCTCCTTCTACAACTAACTCAAACAACCCGAAAATGCTAAAACTACGAAACTCAAAATACTTATCTTGCTTACCTTAGAACCACCAAATATAGCTCTCAAATTTCTTTCTCGACCAACTAGAGAAATTCACAATCTTTGTGCAAACCTTCCACAAGCAAATCAAGCTACTACTTGAATCACAAAGTATAGTTCTGAAATTCAGCTCATCTCATAGATTCATTTCTACACAAAAATATCAGATCTTTGACAAGATATCTCGAACAGAACTATCAGCTTCATATGAACCTAAAAAACACTATTAAATCACATACACAGCACTGAAAGCCGACAAATTTGAGAAACTTATGCTTACCCATGAAGCAGATCTTGAGAATACATCATATCCACATACAAAAGACCCTCACTTTGCAGCTTATGAAGTTTTGGGAAGCACAAAATTGGGTTACAAAACTCCAAAATATAGGCCAAGAACAATAGCAGGCATCCGATTACCTGAAAACTGATATGGGTCTGTAGCTGAAACTAGGGTTCACCATAGACAGTTGGGTTCCAAATCAGAGCAAGTGTACAAGAAAGCTCACAAACGTGAGGAGAGTGGGTTTCTTCCAAACTTCCAAGATCTCTCAATGTTAGGGTTATTTATTTATCGTTTTATATTATTGGTATTATTAGTATTCCTCCAGATGTGACTCTTTCTTTGGACCCTGACGACCTGACCACCCAAAATTGAGGCGGCCAGCAGATTTCCCATGTGTTCTTCGGCTTTTTGTGGAATCGCTTTTGGGAATGGGCCAGTTGGCCCAAACAGTCCTTGCAGCCCAGGCCCATTAAAATAAAGGAAATAATAACCTAAATATTAAGAAGAGACAAAAATCTGTCACACACCATGCATTGAAATTTGAAACATTTTGACTATGAAACAGCATAAATTTTTGGGACAAGAGAGTTTACATGGGAATTATTTAACTTTGTTCTCCAATAACTGAAAATTAATATAAGGCAAGTCCACTTAGGTGCAAGTTGTAGAAACTAGAAAGCAGAGATGATGGGGTTGGGTTTTCATTTGCTGCAGCCTGCAGTGGCCGTCACCGCGTCTGGGGATGTTGGTGCATGGGTTGGGGCCACCAGGTGGCACCAGACCTCTAGCTTGTGGTAGAGACGACACTTTCGTACCACCGGGAGTCACCGGCTTATTCATGCCGTCAAAAGGCCTAGCAGCTGCTACAACAAGAGGCTGAGCTGTAACAAGTAATAACAAAAACAACACAAATTTAATAGCGTAAATTGTATTGTGTTCTTTTCTTTCATTAAGCTGCGTGACTTTGAATTTGGATTTTGGTCAGTCATTCGAGTGAGTGCATGATCCATTTGGAAACTTAGCTGCTAACATCATCACGGTGGCCCTTTTGAAGTTCATATATATAAGACAAAGGTTGGTCCACTCCAAATTCCAATATGAGTAGGTACATGTCGAACAGACAAAGAGGCATAGCTAAAGGGATCAAATTTATAATTATTCTTTAAAACTTTAAAGATCTTATTGTCTTTGTCATCTTTCACCATAAGTTTCAAGTAATTAACCTTCAAAAAGGTACAATTCGAATGACTAATTTATCCTCTTGCTTGGTGACCACTGTGGAAAGTTGGTTCCATGTAGAACAAGTATGGTATTGGCATGTATAGCAAGCATGCTGCAAAACGACAATTTTACTATAATAATAATTATTAATTGCTGATTATAACAGGAGTACTATAGTTCATTTCCACCAAGAACGTCTTACTAACTATAATAGGACTAGCTTTGGCCTACGCTCCTAGATGGTTGGGATCTACCTCCTTTAGTTTATATATCTTCGGTTGCACCGATATTATTCTCAATTTAACTGCGTAATCACCTAAGTTCAATACATCTGCATGTGGACCTTTCATCTTAATTAACAATCAAAACGTGAAAGCATATACATCTAACTACCTGGAAATGGAGAGTGGTTTCCAAACTTCCAAGATCTGTGTTACGGCTCGTAAAACATGGTTTTTATTTATAGATTATTATAAATAAACCCAATCCTAGACATGTATTTATAAAAAAACCCACGCACTATTTAAACATAGAAACACACCCAAAATCAACAATTGTATATTTTTTGGGTGTGTTTATAAATGGGTTTTGAGTGTGTGTAATGATGGGTTTTGGGTGTGTTTATAAAGTGTTTTGGGTGTTGGGTTTTTTTATAATTTCAGCCCCCATTTTGGGTGTTTTAGTGAAACTCCCTTTTATTTATTTATCAATGAATGCTTGAGTTTTTGAGTTAATATCTATTTTTCTCTTTTATTTAGAACTAATTAAATACCCTCACACATGCAGATGGTGACAATGTAGTTATTGTAGGAGGAGAAAAAGAGGTAAACGAGAGTAGATAATTTTTATTTTTGCATACAAGCGATAGTTTAAACACTCAATTGCAATGCTATTTTGGTCAACTCGCCTAGAGAAAGAAAGAGTGGTGGATATATTTTTTTATTTTTGTTTTATTAAAGTAAATTCCTAATTACTTGTTTTATTTTCTTTTAATAAAGGTCAAATTACTAAAACAGAGACATAGATTGTATTCTTATAAAGGTTGGCAAACTCTTTCTTTGGAACTTGACCACCCAAAATTGTAGCAGATGATGTTTTCCGGGAGCTTCTATAATGAGGAGGTTGAGTGAGGAGCTTATTTGAGGAGGCTCATCTCACCATCAAAAGGGGTGTGGACCCCCCAATGCACCCCCCCATGTGCTTTGTTTTTAGTTGTTGATGGTGAGATTTCACCTCCTCAAATAAGCTCCTCACTCAACCTCCTCATTCTAGCCTCTCCAATGTTTTCCTCATTTGTTGGTGAAAACGATCATAGAATCTCTTAAAACAGCCCTCCCAGCCCAAACCAAAACTAGTGGAGACCCAGACCGGACCCATGAAACATAGGGCCGACATAAACCTGTTCCTTAAAATTTGATACATTTAGACGGTGCTATGTAAGTATGTATTTTCCTTAGTTCCCTGAATTTTGATTTGTTTGTGTGGTTTGGGTTAACTCCCAGTTGACAAGGTAGGGCCGAGGACAATTTCCATGAGCATTCGTAGAGAATGATGTATGTAAATTTAATAAAATTTCCCAAGAAATGACTGGCCTGCCCATCAAGTTTTGAGAACACAAAACTCATCAACCATCTTCTCTCGCATACAAATTGTAAAATGACACGGTTTAGTTTCAACTTTCACACAAGTGGGGAGAAAGTGAAATTTTCCCAGGAATTTCAACCTAGAAATTCATAGGAAAAACCACGCTAACCTATTGCAGGACGCACTTAATTGTGTCGAGTCACAAATTCGAGATAATTTCACGAAGAAAAAAAATGAAAAAAAACTCAACCTATATATGTAGTAGCAGCATGCAAGCCAGTATTTTATGTGTGTGGGGGCTTCTCACAAAATATAAATAATAATAAATTCGAACTCAAGACATACCAAAACATCAAAAATAATATTATTGTCTATTCATTAAAAAAAATCATTACAATTCATAATTTGTCCTTGAAAAGTTTTCATATTTTGAAATCGTTGCATAACAACCTCGTCATCTATACTATTAAAAATATTTTTCTCATATATGCAACCAAGTAATCATTCATCTATGAATTAACCTAATTTTAAAACTTGATAATATAATATTGAGTTTGAGAGAAAAATAATGAGAAACTTTGCTCTCGCCAAGAAAATAGAAAAATGTATTAAAATCTCTTTGCCTAATATAATAATAATAGTTTTATTAAAACTTTTGGGAATGGGTTTGCAAAAGAAGGCATAGTCTTGTAGGAAACGTAAGTTTGGCTAGGTAGGGCCGAACGTGGTAATTAAATATGTTAAACTAATATGGGCTATACAATAACAACATACTCTGTTTTTTATATATATATATATATATATTTTTTATAAATAAAAACTAAGTGGTGGCTGAGATTGCACTAGTCCCAATGTGGCTTCGCCCTTAAGTATGCGGTTGCCTTATAATTTGCTGGGAAGTTGTCTGCACTATTTTGAATCTCCACTATTTTTTTGTTTCCATTCGCACACGTTTTAGATATATATATTTTGTACGTCCCCAGTGTATCGTTTTCTATATTATTACTAATAAGCAAATAAAAATGAATTTGAGATATTTAAGCAAGAAGAGCTTGTGAAATTGCAAGTAGCAGTGGAACAACTTCCTCTCTGGAAATGAGAAGCACTAAGATAAAGAAAAGGGCACTTAAAGTCAAAGCTCAACGCGTTTCTTCTTAATTTTAGTTACTTGTAAATTGTAATCTCTGCTTATGTTATGACTTTATACCAAAGTCAATTAATATAAACAAGACTCATCACCTTAAATATCTACGCCGACCCGATCAAATCCTAGTTGAAACTTTTCAAAACCACAAAACAAATTTAGCAACTATTAATTTGAAGGCAGAGGACTTGGATTCATTGCTCTCTTATGTTATGTTGAGTGATTATAAATGGATGATTGAGTGATAATAATTGCTCATTTAGAATAGCAGCACCTATTTTTAATGCAAGGAATAAGTGTCCCTGTCAAGGAAAAGCCCAAGAAGAATCCGTACGTAAGATTAGTGCAATATGGTGGTGTGTTGTCGAGCTTTCTTCTTTTTCAGTGGTTGACATTTTACATTGCATGCCATTAAAATGTCAACCTGCATATACATGTGAAAATGGCTACTCGGTTTAACTAATGCGAGGCTTTTATTTATTAACTTTGCTAATCAATCATTAAAAATAAATTATATTAACCAAACAAATAATTAATTGAGGAGTTATTATAATTCATATTGGTTAAGGATGGAAATAGTAGTTAGTTTGCCCCTCTCTTTGTAGTTTAGACTATTAAAAATATTATATGTAAAAAATAGAGAGGTCTCAGGTTTGAACCCTCATAGCACCTTAATTAGTAGTGTGCGCGTGTGTGAGAAACCCCCTCTCTTTGTTGTTTAGACTATTATTGATGATATTAATAAAATAAAATAATAGTTATTTTTTTGGTTTGTTGAAACCATGTTCGTTATTTATTTAATCTCCATTATAATTAAGAAGAGTTAATTCAAATTGGTTAAATATGAAATAGTAGTGCATGCATTTCGTTGGATAAAACTGAAACTAAACTGTGGATAATCAGATTGAAGAAGCAATATATACCAAAAAAACAATATGAAGAAGCAGAAGAATAAATGCAAAACGTTAAGAAGAAAGGAAAGGAAAGCACATCATTGCATTGCCTTAAAGGCTTAAGTTCTACTTTACATATTACTAACTAGGATACCATACAGATAAGTGATAAATCTGCATGAACTAACCTTGTTCCCAATTAATCTATATATCTTTTTACAGCTATATATAGTCATATACATCGTTTACCAAGTTGCTTGTGACTATTATAGATCAAGGGCTGGAGCAGATGATGATGAGTTTTGATTTTGACTATAATCAATCAGTTGCAACCCCCGTTTCCCGGACTGGGGATATGAGTGCATGGGTTGGGGCCACCAGGTGGCGCTGGACCTCTAGCTTGTGGTCGATACACCACATTCGAACCAAACGCGGCGGCAGCCGGCTTCATGTCATCCAAAGGCCGAGCAGCTGCTACATTAGGAGGTAATTTGGCTGTGAAAATGATCAGCAACATAAACACCATTAATTTGATAGTGTACATTGTTTTCATGGTGATTAAAAGGGTGCGTAAAAGGCTTTTGTATAGCATATAAAGTAGGATATAGAAGATGAGGTGTGTGGCTTAAGCGATTTTATAGTGTGTGTATATATATACATGTGCAAGTGGACGTGAATTTTGGCAGGAATTTCAACCTTGAAGTTCCTAGGAAAGAAAGGAAGCTGACACAATGCATGACGCAACCCCAAGTGCCTAGTCACAATTTAGTTTGAGATAATTTCATGAAAAAATGAAAATGAAAAAAATAACTCAAATTATGCAATTGCCTTACAATTTGGTTGGAAGTTGTCTCCACTAGTTTGTATTTACTTGTAAGCTGTAACCTCTGCTTATGAAATTTGTACCCAGAAAAGTCAACACGTGTGAACTATATTGAAATTGATCACCTTAATTTGTCTCCACTAGTTTGTATTTACTTGTATTGTATATATATATATATATAGCATGATAAATTTCTCACTATTTTTGGCACTTTCTAAGGCAACCACTCATTTGTTATAAGTGTGTAGCTGTCAATGGAAAGAAATGTAAAGCTTCCAAGGAAAGACCCCAAGAAGATCATACGGTTAGTGCAAAATGGGAACAAGGCAACCACTCATTTTATACATTAATTTCATTTGCATGCAAAAATGTCAACCCACAGGTATAGCATATAAAGTAGGATATAGAAGATGAGGTGTGTGGCTTAAGCGATTTTATAGTGTGTGTATATATATACATGTGCAGGTGGAAGTGAATTTTGGCAGGAATTTCAACCTTGAAGTTCCTAGGAAAGAAAGGAAGCTGACACAATGCATGACGCATCCCAAGTGCCTAGTCACAATTAGTTTGAGATAATTTCATGAAAAAATGAAAATGAAAAAAATAACTCAAATTATGCAATTGCCTTACAATTTGGTTGGAAGTTGTCTCCACTAGTTTGTATTTACTTGTAAGCTGTAACCTCTGCTTATGAAATTTGTACCCAGAAAAGTCAACACGTGTGAACTATATTGAAATTGATCACCTTAATTTGTCTCCACTAGTTTGTATTTACTTGTATTGTATATATATATATATATAGCATGATAAATTTCTCACTATTTTTGGCACTTTCTAAGGCAACCACTCATTTGTTATAAGTGTGTAGCTGTCAATGGAAAGAAATGTAAAGCTTCCAAGGAAAGACCCCAAGAAGATCATACGGTTAGTGCAAAATGGGAACAAGGCAACCACTCATTTTATACATTAATTTCATTTGCATGCAAAAATGTCAACCCACAGATGAATGCCAATTGAGTTTACTCAATGCTAAAAGTAAACTTGACTATTTTTTAATTGCAAGGTCCCAGCAAAGGCAAAGCAATTAATGGTAGTGGGTGTATGTTGGTTCGAAATCAATATAATTTAGTTTATTTGTATTTGATTTAATATAAATTGGATTGTGATTTTTTCAATCCGATCTTATCAATTAGATGTTTAAATCCAATATGATTCAATCCAGTTGATATTGGATTGAATTGGATGATCGGTTTTGACAATGAAAAAAGACAATAATGAAATATTAAACATTCATCCTTAGGTTTAATCTAATTAAACATATTAAACATAACTTCATGATTTAAAATATTCATAACTTTTTCAACTACAAATACCTACAAGAGCAAAATAAGCATAAAACTAA